TTGAGCTGCAAGCTGCCCTCGTCCGGGACAAGCTCACCACTGGCCGTACGATACGTGCTGCCGTTGCCCTTCAATCCCGTCGGCGGCGCGAAGCTCCGAGGGAATGCTGAGACCGCTGCACCGCTGTCCCAGTTGAACTTCATCCAGTCGTCCTGCGCGAAGGGAGAGAGGTCGACCGCTGCTACGCCGCGGCCGCTGCCGCCGGCGAGCTCCAGGCAATCCAAGCTGCCCATATCCAGGGCGGCGACCTCCGCTTCAGGCTCCTCCTCCAGGCTGCCTGCAGCCTTGCCGCCGGCCTTGCCGCCGCGGCCACCACCTTTACCACCAGCGCTTGCCCCCGTTGCGGATCCAGTTCCAGCCCTCGTACTCGATCCCTGCTCTTTCCTCCAGCATTCGGATGCCTTGTGGCCCCATCTCTCGCAGTTCCGACAGTAGCCGTCGAAGCGCACGCCGGTGCTTCGGGGTGCCGTGTGCCCGGAACCACGGCCCGAACCCGTCGGGGATGTGCGGGAGCCTGAGTATGATCCGCTCGTCGATTTGCTCTTCCCCTTCGTCTCCTGGGCCTTGCCTTTCCCTTTGCTCTTGCCGTCCTTGCCCTTGCCTTTGCCTTTTCCTTTCGGGGCTCCGAACGATCCGACGTCCATGTCGTCCGGATGGTGCGCCCGTGCGCGGATCGATGGCTCCTTGATCTTCACGCCTGTCCGAGCCTCCACGATCGTCATCACCTCGTTCAGACTGTCCTGGAACGTTACGAGCCGATGCTTGTTGAGTACGAGGTGGTTCTCGATGTCCTGAGGCACGAGCATCTCGAGGGCCGCCATCTTGATATCCTCCGGCAGCTCGGCCAGTCCGTCCTCTCCTTGGCGGCGTTCGTACTTGCCTATCTGCTGGATCCATTTCTCTAAGGCGGACCCCAGCTCTTCCGCGTTGCACTTCGGAGGCGAGATGATCGATCTCAGGATCAGCCTCTTCCTCGGACCTGTCGTCGGGTCCCACCTGCGGTGAAGTTTCCGCCAGGCCTCGAGACCGTTCCCGTCTGGCGCGCCCGTCACGAGGTCGTTGCTCTCGCTGCCGTCCGCCGTCGTGCTGATCAGCGCCGCGTACAGCTGGTTGATCTTGGTCACCAGCTCTGGTACTCCTCCGTGCGCCTCCTGTGCCCCTTCGATCGTCACGGGGCGTTCGGCTTCTGCCGCCCACCGGAGAACAGGACGGAAGCTCTCTCCGTACACGCCTATCACGTAGTTCTCCATCTTGCGGTTCCAAGCTCCGAACTTCTCCTGATCGTCGCCTAGCGTCGTGGGCTTGCCGATCCCCTTCGTGTCGACGAGACCTGGTGCGGCTCCTCCCGCGTGCGTAGCTCCTCGGATCTGCTCGCCCATGCGCTCGATCGCCTGCGGAATCGCCGCGAGGCCTCCGGCTACTTGTTGCTGAAGCCGCTGATTCTCGTTCTCGAGCCTCCTCATCTCGTCGACGGTCTGACTCATGCGGGCTGCGAACTCCTGCCTCAGTAAGTCGAACTGCTGCCGAACTTGCTCGTCCATGTTTAATTGCGTGCTTCCTGGCGAGCTCCTCCTTGCGTTCTGAGATCCCCTGCCTCGTACGCTCGAGGTCTATGATCTGATCTAAGACCTCCTTCTTCGCCTCCTCGATTGCTCCTGACGAGTTCTCCGAGGGATGGTCCTCGATGTACGCGAGGTCGTGCAACTTGTTGCCCGTGTCCTTCAGGCCGTGTTTGAACTGCAACTGTCGTCTTCGATTCTCAACAGCTGCGTCACTCCTCTTGCCGCGCCTGCGGCCGCTCTTCGGTGGTCTCCTCTCAACCTCTGCCGGTGGTCCGGCCTCTGCTGTGCTCGGTGCGGCTGATGCCGCTCTCTTCCAGCCTCTCGCCTCGGGCCACGCGCCCTGCCAGCTCGCCGTGGCGCCGCGCGCGCCGCGAGGCCCTGGTGGGTCGCAGCAGTGAGTGGCCAGCTCACGCTACCATGATGAGATAATGTGTTGATTAGCAACAAGATCTCTTTTCATCTTGAGCCAAAATAGGTACACGGAGGAGGGTGTCAGAATCATTCCCCCCCACTTCCCATATTTTCCCATATTTTCTTGGAATCGCCGACTAATTGTGTCTGTGTATTTTTTCCCCTCCTGAAGGAGACTCCACCGCATCGGGAGCGGCCAAGAGGGGGGTGTCCAAGAGGGGGGGGGGTGCAAATCATGACCGGCGGCACGTGCGCGGCCCAGCGGGGGGGCCAGGGACGTAATGAAATGAGAAGAGGCGCCATGAAATCTGGAGAAATATCATGGCCACCGCCATGACATCCACCCCCCCCTAGTCATCACCCCCTTCTTTTCCGCCTCCGACCGCAGTGCCCTGTGCAACACGAGAAACCCAGCACAGGATGGCCGGGAAAACACAGCCGCACATGGTCGAGCCAGCGCAGCGCTCTCCCTGTACCGGACGAGGGGGAACGTAACGTCGGCCGCGCAGGTGAAGCAGGCAAGCCTGAGCTGCGAGGGCGGGAAGCACGCAGCCAGACCAGCGAGACAAGGCAGGCGAAAGCGCGCCAGAACGGGGGCGTCAGCGATGCACGAGCCCGGCCAGGCAGAACCAGGCAGACCAGCCGCAGCAGCCAGGCCAGCCAAAGCAGCTTCACCAAAGTCGGGGCAGCCACACCGACCAGCCAGACTGCAACAAAAAACATGAACATCGAGCAGTCAAACTGCAGCGCAAACTGCACTACAAACTACTTCATTGCTGGCCGTCGTAGAGGGCTCTGTGAGCATGACATCCTCCCTGAACCTCTGCCCTCAACTCACGGCTCGCACGCGGAATCGCAAGCTCAAGCTCGGGTAGCTGAACTGCTGCGCAAACCAAACCACAACGCAACCGAAACCTGCAATGCAAAAACACTGCTTCTGGCCGTCGTAGACGGCACTGCAAGCTTCAGATCCTCCCTGCACCTCTGCAAACAATTCCCGTCTCACACGTCGAGTCGCACACGGACTCCTAAACTCAAACTCGGTCAGACGATCTGCAGCGCAAAATAAATTAGGAGAAGCAGAAACCCCACTGTGCGCATCGATCCAATCTGAGCGAAATTGGCCGCCGTCGGGGGTACCGAGAGCCTGAGGTCCTCGCTGGACATCTTCAGACCACTCCCGGAACACACTCGGAATCAGAACCTCAAGTTCGGGCAGCCAAGCTGTAGCGTCCAAACAACTGCAACGCAAAACAGGTGCAGGACAACAAAATAATAATTACATCGCAAAAAAAGCAGCACTGCAAAGCGAACTCCGTTCTGGTTGTCGAGACGGCGTCGTGAGTTTCACACCCGTCGCCAAACCTCCTCAAACCCTTCCCGTCTCATGCGCGGAGTCTTAAACAATGCTCGGACAATCCAGCTGGAGTGCAAGAGCACGAACTACAACAAACCACTGCAACATAGACTTCGCCATGGGGTGCCATAGGCTTCACGCCCCTGGCTGACAGATGGCGCCATGGACTTCACACCCTCCCTGATTCCCTCTAAACCATTCCCGCATCACACGCCAAACCCTTAGCCCAAGATCGGGCAGCCAAGCTGCAACGAATAAAAGACAACGCGTAAGAAAGGCCAGCATGGGCTTCACAACCTCCCTGCAACTCTCCGAACAACCCGTCGCACACGAGGAATCATAAGCTCAAACTCGGAAGACGGAACTGCAACACAAAACACATGCAACACAAAAAAAAACTCCGGTCTGGTCGAAACGGCGCCGTTGGTCTCACAACCTCCCAGAACCTCTCCAAGCCACTCGATCCTAAGCCCAAGATCGGACCGTCGAAAAAACCAACGCATAAACATGCCGCGCAGAAGAAAGCCGCACCACAACACAAACTGCCTTCTGGCCAATCGGGGGCACCGTGGGCGTCGCACCCTCTCTGAGCCCTCTCGCCCGCTCTGAACCGTCTGCCCAAGATCGGACAGCCGAGCCTCGGCAGACGATGCGCCATCGCACAGTCCTGCTCTGCTCAATGCAGTGCTTGCTTCCTGGTCGGGGCGAGCGCGCCGTTGGCTTCGCACGCTCTCTCGGGACCTCTCCAGACCACCCTCGCCTCACACGCGGAACCCTCAGCCCAAGATCTGGCAGCTGGCCTGCAACACAACATACACTGGACTGCAACACGACCTGCTACCTGGTCGAATAGAGGGCGCCGCGGACTTCCCACCCTCCCTGAACCTCTCCCAGACACTTCGTCTACGCGCGGAATCCTCAGCCCAAGCTCGGAAAGCCAGAACGAAAACTTTAAGCATCGAGCAGCTCGAGCTCGATACAGTTATAGACACATGCATACATTCATGGTATATAAACATGAATGTAGATATACACCTATCAGAATAAAAATACTTCTTACACTTCTGGCAATGTGATGCTGTATTGATGTAAGATTGTCTCGCCTTGCTCCTTCGGGTGTGGGGGTATCGCGTCTGGGGGCGGTCGTCAGTTTGTTTTGCCGAGCGGGGGGGGCGGACTGGCTGGAGGATCTAAATCGCAGCCCACATGTGCGCGTGATAAACCCTGCGGGTGTGTAAAACCGTATGCGTGGAGCTCGATGGGCGTATGTGTGTGGAACTATTTCAATGTGGAGCCCGAAACTTGTAGGGCCCTATGGCAAAAACGGCCTGACCCTGGGCATCAAGGACAATCATTTCAAGAACAATCCTGAACCGTGAAGCGCAACGACTAGGGAACGTGTTAAGACATGGACGTGCACACTGTCTGGAAAATACGGTAGGAGCTGGGCCGTCCTTGCCGATAATCGGAATGCAACAAATACGAATCGATGCCCAGCTCTCAAGTCGGGGGTCTCCTCATCAAGCCAGACGAGCGTCTTTGCAAACTGACCCGGACGCATGTGTGGGCAGGGCTGGCCATGGAAGTAAAGCAGATCGCTTGAATTTTCAGAGCAGGCAGCGCTGGCCATGGATGCTGCTACTGCGTCGCCCGACCTGGTCCCATTCCACCCGCCCACGTCATGGAACAACGTGCGCCCACAACCTAAACAGGAAGGCAACACATGAATTGGCAATTTGAAATTGTGCCGAAAGCTCATACTGCGTTGCAGAACACTCTAGAAGATACTGCCAGCAGCTCCAATGCCGTCAGCGTGAAGCGACCGTCGCAAAAACATTCGGTCTTCAAACGGGGGCGCCCCCCGACACCGGCGAGACCACCGACGATGCTCTCAGTCCGTCCTCGGGAACGTCGACTATATACAAGATAAGCACCCGTGCTAAACACGAGATTGGGAGTCCGCAGTCATTGCGCAACGACACAGGTCGACGACGCTTCTACAGTAAACTGATTTACGATACGCTGCGTACGGAAAGAAGCCCCGACCGAAGAACCACCCCGGCCAACCCCATCCAATCCTCCAGCTAACCTTCCCACCCACCCCCGCTAACCCTGGTTGCGCTGGTTTTTCCAAAAAGGACATAGCAAGTATCGCGCGTGCCACGCCCAGGCCCCTAACGTGATGTCGGAGGGAGCGCGGTCTACGGTCGCCTGGCTGGAAAATCCCCCCCTCCTCCTGGAAACTGAGACGGGGGGGAAGTTCCCCCTCCCCCCCCGCCCTTCCTGGAAACCGAGGGCGGGGGGGAGAGGGGGGAGGACCCCTCCTGAAACCCAGACATCCGGCTGCCCCAATTTTTTTGGGTGCGTGGGCCCCGGAGGTCCAGACCACTTCCCCGGGACCAGTTTTTCGTCCTGAATCCTTATTTGACGCTCCCGAGGCCCGTCGAGGGCCCCTGGAAGCCGAAAACTGCCAAAAACCGCCAGCTCCAATTTTTTTGGAGCGTCGGATCTCAAGGTCCCCTGGCTCGAACGGGGGGGATGGATGGGAGGAGGGGGCAGAATACCACCCCTCCGTTCGAACCAGGCGGAGGGCGGGCGTCTGGCCAGGGCCTGGGCCGGGGCGGGGCCAGGGCCAGGGCCAGCCAGAGGGCTCCAAAGAGGGTTTCTCGGGGAGGGGGGGTTCCAGGAGGGGTCCTCCAGGGGCTTCGCACCCCTTGTTTTGACAAGGTTCCGAGGACCCTGGGGGGCTCTCTGGAAAACCCCCTCCCCAAAAAACCCATATTGGAACCCTCCGAGCCAGGACCAGGACCAGGGCTGGGGCCGGGGCCTGGGGCCGGAGGCTGGGGCTCCCAAGTCCAGGGACCATTGAGAGCTTTTATTGACTCTGATTTGACTGTTGTTTGAGTTCGCTGGAGCTTTGTTTGAGCTTTGCTCGGGCGTGGTTTGAGCGTTGCGCGAGCTTTGCTTGCGCTTCGTTCGAGAACTGCTGGAGCTCTGTTGGAGCTTTGTTTGAGCGTTGGTTGAGCATTGTGTGCGCTTTGCTGGAGCTTTGTTGCAGCCTTGGTTGAGCTTTGTAGTTTTTGTTTGAACCATGGCTGAGCCTTGATTGAGCTGTGTTGGGGCTTTGTTCGAGCTTTTCGTGAGCTTTATTTGGCGCTTTGTTGCAACTGTGCTTCAGCATCGGAAGAACTTCGTTTGAGTTTGGCTTGAGCTTTGTGTGAGTTTAGTGTGAGCGTTCCTCGAGATTGGTTTGAGCTTTGTGCGAGCTTTGTTTCCGCTTTTTTTGATAGTGTTGGATCTATATTTGAGCTTTCGTTTCAGCTTTGGTTGAGCTTTGTGTGAACATTATTGGAGCTTTGTCGGATCTTTGTTTCAGCGTTGTTGGAGCTTTCTTTGAGATTTGTTTGAGCTGTGCTTGAGCTTTGTCTGCGCTTTGTTTGACGTTTATGTGGCTTTTGTTTGAGCTTTGTGTGAGCTCAGTTTCAGGTTTGACTGGGATTTGGAGATTGATTTCGGCTTTGCTTTAGCTTTTTGTGAGTTGGCGGCGCGCACAAGGGGGTGGGGGGAGGGGGGAGGGCTTCTTAGAAGCAGGCTGCTTCTTAGAAGGCGCCGGCCTTACATCTATAGATAAGGCCCGCGCCTTCTAAGAAGCAGGGGTGCTTCTGAGAAGCCCTCCCCTCTCCCCCCACCCCCTCTGCGCGTGGCTGAGTGAGCCTTGTCGGAACTTGGTTTGAGATTGTTGACCTACGTATGTTCCAGCGTTGGTTGATCTTTGTTTGAGCTTTGCTTGTGCTGTGCCAGAAATGAGTTTGAGCTTTGTTCTTTGCTGTGATTGAGCATAGGTTGGCGCTTTGTTTGAGCTTTGTTCTCGCTTAGTGTGATCTTTGCTTGAGCTGTCTTTGAGCTGCATTGGGATTCTGTCTGATCTTTGGCTGAGCTTAGTTTGAGTTATGTTTGATCTTTGGTTGAGCTTAGTTGAGCTTTGGTTGAGCCTTGTTTGAGCTTTGATCTGAGCTTTGTTTGAGCTGTGTGTGAGCTTTGCTTGAGCTTTTTGTGAACTGTGACCTTTTTGTTTCAACTTTGTTTGAGCTTGCGACGACGACGACGACGACGGAATCGGCGACGGCGACGGCGATGGCGACAGCGACAGGGGGGACATTTAATGCAACCATTACCCGGTGATGGGACAACATTGGGGGAACCCATATCGAAACCAACGGGGACGCAATTCGGGCGGGCGGGGTATTTATTAGACTATTCACTCAGTGATGGAGCGGTTAGTCGGGCGGACGGGCGGGACACTGAATGCAACCTTCACTCAGTGATGAGGCGTGATCATCATCATCAGCATCATCATCGTCATCATTATCATCCTCATCATCATCATCATCATCAGCATCATCATCATCATCATCATCATCATCATCATCATCATCATCATCATCATCGACATCATCATCATCATCCTCATCAGCCTCGTCGTCGTCTTCACCCACATTCATCATCATCACCATCACTATAACAATCACCATCCTCATCATTAGTTTCAGCATCAGCATCATCATCATCATCAGCTACATCATCATCATCATCATCAGCAGCAGCGTCATATAATACTCTGCATCACCATCTTCGTCATCATCATGATCACCATGAGGATCACCACCACCATCATGATCATCAGCATAGTCATCCACATCATCATCGTCCTCACCATCATGATCATGATGATAATCATCAGCATCAGCATTGCCATCAGCATCACAATAATAATCGTTGCCATTATTGTCATCATCAGCACCATCATTATTTTCTGATAATCAGCATCAACACCATCAGCACCATCAGCATCATCATCAGCAGCATCACCATCACCATCATCCTCATCAGTCTCATCAGCATCACCACCACCACCATCATCATCGTAATCATCATCATAATCTGCATCAGCAGCATCATCATCATCATCATCATCGTCATCATCAGCATCAACATCAACATCATCATCACCAACACAATCACCATCACCGTCATCGTCGTCATCATAATCAGCATATTCATCATCGTCGTCATCATCATGATCATCATATAAGCACCATCATCACAACTCTTATCATCACCATCATCATGATGAGCATCATCATCATCATCAGCATCAGCATCAGCATCAGCACCAGCATCATCCTCCTCCTCATCACCATCATCATCACCATCACCATCATCATCACCAGCAGCAGCAACATCATCAGCATCATCATCATCATCATCAGCATCATCATCATCATCAGCATCATCATCATCATCGACACCATTATCACCATCCTCATCAGCCTCGTCGTCGTCTTCACCCACATTCATCATCATCACCATCACTATAACAATCACCATCCTCATCATTAGTTTCAGCATCAGCATCATCATCATCATCAGCTACATCATCATCATCAGCAGCAGCGTCATATAATACTCTGCATCACCATCTTCGTCATCATCATCATCATCATCACCATGAGGATCACCACCACCATCATGATCATCAGCATGGGTCATCCACATCATCATCGTCCTCACCATCATGATCATGATGATAATCATCAGCATCAGCATTGTCATCAGCATCACAATAACAATCGTTGCCATTATTATCATCATCAGCACCATCATTATTTTCTGATAATCAGCATCAACACCATCAGCACCATCAGCATCATCATCAGCAGCATCACCATCACCATCATCCTCATCAGTCTCATCAGCATCACCACCACCACCATCATCATCGTAATCATCATCATAATCTGCATCAGCAGCATCATCATCATCATCATCGTCATCATCAGCATCAACATCAACATCATCATCACCAACACAATCACCATCACCGTCATCGTCGTCATCATAATCAGCATATTCATCATCGTCGTCATCATCATGATCATCATATCAGCACTATCATCACAACTCTTATCATCACCATCATCATGATGAGCATCATCATCATCATCATCATCATCATCAGCATCAGCATCAGCATCAGCACCAGCATCATCATCCTCCTCATCACCATCATCATCACCATCACCATCATCATCATCATCACCAGCAGCAGCAACATCATCATGATCATCATCATCATCATCATTATCATCATCATCATCACCATCATCATCATCATCACCATCATCCTCATCTTCTTATTTTTCTTATTATTGTTCTTGTTCTTCGTATTATTCTTCTTCTTCGTCGCGGGCAGCCCAAAAAAGGCCCTGACCCTGGCCTCGGCCCCAGCCCCCAGCGCCAGCTACGGCCCAAACCCCGGCCCCGGGGCAGCCCCAGCACCAGCCCTGACCCTGGCCATGGCCCTGATCCCAGCCCGGCCCCGCCCGAGGCTGGCCCCGGGCATCCCCGGCCCCAGCCCAGGCCCTGGCCCCAGCCCTGGCCGGCACCGGCAAGCCCCGGCCCGAGCCCGATCGCGAGCCCCGGCCCCGTCCCCAGCCCGACCCCCCTCCCGTAGTTCAGAGGGGGGGAGGAATTTTATACTCCCCCCCCTTCCAATAACGGAAGAAAGCGCTCTTTCTAATATCGACGTCGATCGCATTTGCACGTAGATTCCGCAACGCAGAATCGAACCAACCAAGTCGGGCAAATGAGGAAGAAAGAGATCAGATGGAAGTGAGCGGGGGGGAGGAGGGACCAGTCAGGAGGGGACGGGGAGGCCGAGGGAGTGGCGAGGAGAGAGGAGGAGGAGGACGAGGATCCGGTGGAGGAGGAAGTGTCAGCTTGAATTCGCATCCCTCCGCCCTCGCTCCCTCCGTTATTCGTCCCTGCCACTCATCAGCCTCATTTTCACTCCTCCCCTTCCCCCCACCTCACCACTCCGCTCACCCTCCCGAGCTCTCCCTTCCTCCCCCTCCATACCCAAGCTCCACCCCCGCTCTCCATCCCAATCCTGACGTCCACACCCCCTCCGCCCTCCCCCTCCTTCCAGGCTTTGGGGAGTGGCGTCCTTGTTATTCCCCCTGGCTGCCACGAGGGAGGATACGACAAGGCTGTCCTGTCCGACAACACTTCGTTCAACTGCATGCACATCCACACCCTGCAGGATAATACGCATTTGGAGGTGTACGCACTGGTATCACAGAGCGCCGAGCCGACACACAAGCGCCGCTGGTGAAAATCGCTGCAACACCGCTGTGAAATCCTTCGGCAGAAATTTGCAACGGCTGGCACCTGCAATCCCACAAGGCATTATCATCCCCGCTTCTCTGCACTACCTACTCCTCCTCATCCAGGAAACTCGTTCCTGCTCGTCGCTCCCTCCGCCCCCTCCTTCCACCACTTCTCTTCCCCCATCTCCCTCTCCCTCTCCCTCCGCGCCCTCCTCCTCCTCCTCTTTCGCGCCGCCTCCCTCCCCCTCCCGATTATCTTTTTGTTTGTGTTCTCTCTCTCTCTCTCTCTTTTTCTCCCCAACCCCTCCTCGGCCTCAAGCCCCTGACGGGCACGGTGGCCCTGCAGGGGCAACACGATAGAAGCGGATGCCGATGCCGCTGCTCCCTGGACCTCTCCCGCGGGACGCGTCCTGCGCAAGATGCCGACGAAGAGATCCAGCCGTGATGACGAGGGACGGGCAGCGGTAGCTGTATCCTCTCCGAGGAGGAGGAGGAGGAGGAGGAGGAGGAGGAGGAGGAGGAGGAGGAGGAGCAGGAGCAGGGGGAGGAGGAGGAGCAGGAGGAGGAGGAGGAGGAGGAGGAGGAGGAGGGAGGAGGAGGAGGAGGAGGGGGAGGAGGAGGAGGAGGGAGGGGGACCCCCCCCGCGCAACCCTCCCCCTCCGCCGCCCTGCTCGGCCTGCCGCTCCCCTCCTCGGCCTGTGGGCCCCGCGCGGGCGTAGAGGGCCCTGCACTCCACGCGCGGGCGGTCCAACCGTGCCGCGCGCGAGCGGCGGGAGAGAAATAAAAACCAACGCCCTCTCTGATGGGCCTCTTTTCCACCACCACCACCACCACCACAAGTTGGAGGGGGGAAGGAGGAGGAGGACGAGAAGGAGGAGGAGGACGAGGAGGAGAAGGAGGAGGCGGAGGAGGAGGGCCCCCTCCCCCTCCAACTTTCTGGTGGCGGCGGTGGAGAACAGGCCCCTCACTACCGCGCCACGCTCCGGGCGCTCCTTGGCCTCCGGGCGGGCGGAGGCGCACAGCGGCGGGGGCAGCCTGCCTGCAGAGAGGGGGGGGGGCCCGAGGGGCAGCTCTTCGGCCCGTGCCCGGCACGTGCCCTGGCGCTCGCCCCGCTCAAAAAAGGTCGTTAAAGTTCGCCGGCCCAACGGGCCAGAGGCGTGCTAAGATCTCCGGCAACTGGTTAACAACAGTTCTGGGCCCCCAAGAGGCCCCCAGGAGGCCCCAAAGAGGCCCCCAAGAGGCTTCAAAAGAGGCCCCATAGAGCGCTCGAGGGCCGGCGGAATGAGCGAAGCGATTCAATAATCTTTGAAAAGCTGCTTCTCGGCGGTTCGGGATCTGCCGGCACCGGGGGCTGGCGCCGAGGACAGGAGGGGTCTGCAGGCCACAGGCGGCTCGGCGCCTCAGCTGGGAGCACGACTGAAGCACGAGCTCTCCGTGTGAGCGCTCTCGCGGTCGCCTCCACGCGCCAGGGGCTGGGAGAAGGGAGGATTGAAGGGCAAGGGCGTGCGTCGAGGGAGGGCAACTGCCGAAAGGACCAATGGAGAGCATGGCCGACTGCCTGACTCGAAGGACGGATAATTTGAATACTAGAGAAGGAGGGTGAACATGAGGAGCACAGATGGAGAAAGAGAGGAAGACGTTGAGCAGGAGGGGGAACACAAATAAAGAGAAGGAAGTGGACCGGGAAAGGATCGCACGGGTGAGGAGGTGAAGGAAGATACGGATGCAAGACAGAGTCGGAAGAAATGAAAACGGTGAAAATGGAGGGGATGACGGACGAAAGAGATGAACGAGGAGTGAGTGACATAATAAGAAGTGAACTAAGCTGAAATACAATTCCCCAAGCAGCGCTTGTACCACATAGGGCCTCTTACAGATTTCCCTTTAAGTGGTCGGATGTGTCTGTCAAGGGTGCCTGGTGCGACCGCAGCCGGTCAAAGCAAAGAAGAAAGCGGTGAGCTGTGAAAGGAAAACGGGGAGGAGGGGAAGAAGGAGAAGGACGAGAAGGAGGAAGAGGTACAGGACAGGGGATGATCAGGAGGAGGAGGAGGAGGAAGAGAAGAGAAGCAGCAGGGGGCCTTGGAATTGGAGGCGGGCGGGGTCAATAATCGCGTTAACTGGCACATGCAAGTCTGACCTGCAGCACAGACCCAAGGCAAGATACACCTCAAATTCGTCAATCAACAACAGCTGGATTTGGCGGAAGACTTGACCTCTGTGCTGCACAGGAGTCCAGTGTCGCTGTTAGTGTAGAAAACCCCCCGACTTCTGCGGAGCCCATCGGAAAAAGTATTGCACCACCCCACCCCCCGCCTTTCTGTTCTTCACGTTGCAGGGCAGCGTCCGTTACGGGGTCAGCGAACGAGTCGTCGTATGGGCCCGCAAGACTCGAAGCGAACTGGCTGCAAAATGCGACGATCGCCATGTGCGCATCCTTTGGTCCAGGTGAACCGGCCTGGAATGAATGGGAATGCGCCTCAGCCAACTTGATGCTGAACATCGATCTTATCAACCACGAACTTGCCGAGCATGGAGACACGAACCAAATATGTTCCACAAACTGCCCTGGCGCCCTCCTGAGAGGGGGACCCATTGGAAACACATCCTTTGCATCACGTCCTCCGCGACCAGGTCTCGAGGCTGTCGCAGGTTGCGTCGAAGGCCTTGCGCGCCTCCCAGGGTCTGTGCGCACGAGCCCCGGAACGAAGGGAGGTGCGTCTCGGCCGACCTGATCCCTTGAGCATGATCCGCTTGGAAACTGCCAGCTGCATCATCTTCCCGCGGGTGCAGACGAGCGCATTCCACCACTCGCAAAAGTAACTGCTCGCAAGACCTGGATCTGCCGAGAGGGATCTACGACAAAATGCATCGAAGCAGACGTGTTTTTTTCGGACGTTTGCGAGTAGGCACTTTGCGAGCAGCGTAACGCGTTCGGTGAGGGTGGGCGGAACCCCCTCTGGTGGAAAACACCCCTGCAAGCGGCCGGGGACCAGGCTGAAGTCGGGCAAATGGCAAAAAATGCTCAAAAAAACGTCCTCTGACTATTTCCCCCCCTATTTTTGAATAGTTGTCGGACTATGTTTGACTAGTTTTGATTTTTGTTTAAATCTGTTTTGACTATTTTTGTACATTCCCCCTGTATGCAGGGACAGGCCCGACTTAAGACCGGGCCCGGCAGGCGCAGGCCCGCAGACGCTGCGGGCCCGCCGCCCGGCCGGACGAGGGCCGAAACGGGGCAAGCCGCGCGCACCGACTTGGCCGGATGGGAGGGCTCGGTCGCCCTCCGATCGCCCTCGCCTCAGAAAGTGATACTCTGGATCGCTTCATAATCCCAGACATGATCGCGTCGTGAAAAAATTCAGGACGGGAGGTTTTTGGCTATTTTCGGCCCCAGGGGGGTCCTCGCTGGGCCTCGGGACCGTCAAAAACGATTCAGGACGAAAAACCGGCCGCGGGGACAGGGTCGGGGCTTCCAGGGACGCCGTCCTGAAAAAATCAAGACGTCGCATGTCTGAGATCGCCCCCACCCCCTTGGAGTGCCAGGGGGGTTGGCCGCGGCGCGTCCGCGGGGGTGCCAGGGGGGGTCTGGGGTTCATGCCCTTCCCTGCTGGGGCGCGGGGGTGGTGCCGGGGGGGGTTGGCCGCGCCGCGTTTTCACGTTTGTCACTCCCCGGTTGGCTAATAAGAAGTTCGGAGTAAGCAGGCCATGGCACACGGCGCTTCCAGACCGTGATCTTCGCAAAAGTGCCTGTTGCAGATGTGGCCAGGCTGCTTGGAGAACATGGCCCTCGACGATCTGGTCGGACGAAACAGGCGGGGGGATCACTCACGCAGCTGATCTTCCCGGCGCCTCCCAGGGCCGGAGGTGCCACTGTATCGCGGAATGCACCTTGGGGGCGGGGCCGCAACCAGCTGCAGGCAGCAAATAACTTATTGCACCAACCCCCTCTTCCCTATGCCCCCCTCTCGTCCGGCACGAAACTACAGAAAGCGCACCAGCCTTGACAGCCTCGATGCTTCCGAAGTCTGGGGAGTTCTCAAGGAGGGACGGGTCGTCCTTTCCCACGCGGATTTGACCCGTTCGTGCGTGAATTCGCCGCGGAGGCTACTTTTGAGGGTCCGGAGGAGCCCTACCACCTTCGATGGAGACAAAGAAGAAGTCACGACCCGCACCTTTAAGAAAATAGAACTGACGAGTCGTTTCTCCAATCCATGCGACCTTGGCGTGGCCGCCTCCAGCTGAGGCGATGATATCGTTGGCAGACGTTGTGACGATCACTATCCGCCTGGACGTCACGCCCTCCTGCGCCATTGAGGACAGCGAATCCGCGCAGGAGCCCGTGGTGAGTTTCTTCCACGGCTTGTGCCACTGTGCTAGTCGCTTCGATAGTTGGGGCACCCTCGGTTCGCCTTGAGCCAGAACTGCTAGTGACGAGAGTTGGAGGTGGAGGAGGAGGAGGAGGAGAAGGAGAAGGAGGAGGAGGAGTAAGTGGAGGAGGAGGAGGAGGAGGAGGAGGAGGAGGAGGAGGAGGAGGAGGAGGAGGAGGAGGAGGAGGAGGAGAGGAGAGGAGAGACCAAGGAGGCAGGAGGGCGGAAAGAAGAGGAAAGCGAGAGATAAGGAGAGAGAGAGAGAGAGAGAAAGGAGGGAAAACGGAGAAACAAGAGAAACCGGCACCCTGGGTGCCAGAGCCCGCGGGCGATCCAGAATCGCAGGTGAGCGAACGCCGGCGAAGCATCAGGATATACATCCATCGACTGCCTCGCACTCGACTGCCCAGTCCGACGCTTTGCTGGGAGGGGCTCGACACACACACACACCACGCCGTCTGGTCGGCCAAGGAACTATGTGTGTGGTCGCCCCGGCCACCAGAGCCCTGAGGGTGCTGGAGCGTCTACAAACCGAACCCCTTCGTCGACGGATTCCTTCCTCCTCCTCCTCCTCCTCCTCCTCCTCCTCCTCCTCCTCCTCCTCCTCCTCCTCTGGCGGCCCCTTGACCGATCAGACGACGTGATGTATGGGTAGCCGGTTACGGAAACCCTGAACCCCCGGACGAGTACCACCTCTTGGGGGCTGACCCCTGCTTCCGCCGCACTCGTTCCATCGCCGCCGCCCTCCGCCGGCCTTCGGCCGCCCTCCGCCAGGGAAGAGCTGCAAAAAACTCCTCCGGCCAGGGGCACCGAATGGGGGGCCACGCGCGAACCCTACCCCTACCCCCTGCCCCCCACGACTTCTGGGGGGAGGGTGGGGCTCACTTCGCTCGGGAGCTCCCAGACGAAGTGAACCCCACCCTCCCCCTCAGAAATCGTGGGGGGCAGGGGGTAGGGTTCGCGTGTGGCCCCCCCTACCGAAGGCCAGGCCCCGTCTGGCACGCCCCACGCCGCGCCCCTCCGAGTGCAGCAGCGAGCCGCCCCTCCGCGCCCGCTCCGCCCAGCGCGCGCGTCGAGCCCGAGGGCGCCGGCCGGCCGCCGCGGAGGGCTAGCACGCGGAGGCGCCTGCGGCCTTCGACGGGGAGCCTCCAACTCCTCCCCCTCCTCCCCCTCCTCCTCCTCCTCCTCCTCCTCCTCCTCCTCCTCCCTTCTTCCCCCCTCCTCCTTCCCCCTCTCCTCCTCCTCCTCCTCCTCCCCTCCTCCTCCTCCTCCTCCTCCTCCTCCTCCTCCTCCTCCTCCTCCTCCTCCTCCTCCTCGCTCCTCTCCCTCCTCCCTCCAGGGAAGGGGGGGGGCAGGAAGGGGGGGGAGGGGGGCATCCGCTGCTCGCAGCCCCATGGGGGACGGAAGCACCAACATCGTGGTGAGTCCCGCGCACATGGCGAGGCCCGCCAGCAGACTCACCCGGAGGCGAAAAATCGGACAGGTCAGGGCTGCTCCGCAACTGCCCAGGGCTGTTCTGCAGGCGCCGGCCATGGGGGGCGGGGTGGCCTTGCCTCCCTTTTGACCCCTGGGGCAGGCCCCGGTCGGCGGAGCGTGGACGGAGGAGGCCGTGATCAGGCCTGGCCCCTCGGGAGGCAGGCCTGGGAAAGCGCCCACGGGGGCCGAGCGGTGTCGTCCGGGGGGCCCCGGGGCCGAGATCGCCGACGGCTGGGCCGCCGTTCGCCTGTGGAGGTCACGGGTCACGGGGCTCCGAGGCCCAGAGCGGCAGCAGACGGCCGCAGGGGGGGGCGTGGGCACACGCGAGGGCGAGGGCCGAGGCGAGCGATCGAGGAGGGAGGGAGGTGCCAACAGCGGCGCCAACACATTCCACCAGCCCTCTGGTTGGGAGGCGGAAAGATACGGATACGGGTTGTCCCCGGACCTCTCTCGGGGTGCGTTCTGACCAGAACTTCGAGGCGAATCCAGCGGTGACCACGAGGACTCCCCGGGAGGACCGGGAAGGGCCGACAACGACGGGGGACGGCACGTATCCGCATCTTTTTCTCCCCCGATCTGGGCGCAGGTGATTCGGGCTGGGCGAAAAGGGGGGGATAGCAAAGGGGGGTTTGAGAATCAGCTCACGTAGCTGATTTTCCCGGCGCCTCCCGGCGCCGGAGGCGGCCATGTATCGAGGAATTGGCCCCTCGGTGAGGCCGAAACCAGCTGCATGCAGCAAATTTCGTACCCCCCCCTTTCCCAATCCCCCCCTTTCGCCCGACCCGAGTGATTGAGATCACGAGCTGTGATCGCGGCCGTCGCCATCGCGACGGGCAGCCGCACGGTCCGCGGTGGCCTCGGTCGTGATCGAGGGTCGGCGCCGCAGCGCCCCTCCCCCTCCTCCTCCTCCTCCTCCTCCTCCTCCTCCTCCTCCTCCTCCTCCTCCCTCCTCCTCCTCCTCCTCCTCCTCCTCCTCCTCCTCCTCCCTCCTCCTCCCCCTCCCCCTCCCCCTCCTCCCTCCTCCCTCCTCCTCCTCCTCCTCCTCCTCCTCCTCCTCCTCCTCCTCCCTCCTCCTCCTGCTCCTCCTCCTCCTCCTCCGCCTCCTCCGCCACCCTTCGCATTCCCTTGTTTGCGTCTACGGGGGGGGGGAAGGCACACGTCCTTCATTTCTAGTCGTGCTCATTTCGAATCGTGCTCGCTTCTAATGGTTCCTGGACCCCCAGTGTGGCCATGAAGGGTCCCAGGATAGAACAATCAGAAAGGAGAAGTTCTCGGCCCCCAAAAGAATCGAAGAACTTTTCGAAGAATTAGAAATGAGCCATGTGTACTGATACATCAACTCCCTGGACCTCTCCCGGCCCGGGATGCACTCAGACCAGAATTTCGAGGAGAATCCAGCCGTGGCGACGAGGGCTCTCTCTGGGACGAGCAGCGCTTGCCCTTCTCTGAACTTACGCAAGCGCCCTCCCAACCCCCCTCCCCTCCTCCTCGTCGCGCTGGGGCGCCACCTCCCTGCGCGGGGTCGCCTTCCCAGCATGACGAGATCGAGAAGCTGCGCTCCCAGTGGTTTTCCTCCCCGCGGTGCGAGGAAGAGGGAGCGGAAGGGGGCCGGATGGGGAGAAGGGGGAAACGCCGGAGGGAGGGGGAGAGGGATCAGGGGGAGGCAAAGGAGAAAGGAGGAGGGGGAGGAGGAACCAGAAGAGGGAGGATGAGGAGGGGGCAGGAGCAGGAGGAGGAGGAGGACCAGACGAAGCCCAAGATGTATCAGCGATGCCGCAATACACCCTCCCGCCCCACGTGCCCATCAGTCTCTACCAGCAATCTTCTCTACGTCGCGAAACGCCTCCCGTGAAACATGCGCGCTCACTTGAGCGACGATCAAAAACGGGTCCTACGCGAGATGTCACAGCGAACTTACGCGATGGCTTACGCGGGCCGCCAGCGCGGCACGCTACATTGGAGACGAGGACGCTTACGCGCGACCTCTTCCCGAACAGGATCTCAGCAATGACGGGGTACGTGATGCGTGATGCGAGGCCGCCAGTGCACCAATCGCAGCTGCCGCCCTAAATTCGTCGTGCACGTGTTCAGCAGCTGTACGGCTGCACACCTCCATCAGCTGCGACCGCACTCGGCTGCGATCAGAATCAGGGTTCCATCGCATCCCTCGTCCCTCGGCGAGGGCACCGTTTAGCCCGCAAATGGCCCTGAAACTTGGTGATTGCTCGCAGCGTGTCTGGCCAATCAGCACACCCAAAGCCGAGTTCAGAGGGCACGCGGGGCACGGACAGAGTGACACAAAAGGCTACCCGAGACAGTGTGATAAAACACGTGTGATAAAAAAAAACGATGCTCCGCACAAAAGCGTGATGAAAACACAGGTGTGAAAAAAACAACTCCGAACAAGTGTTTGTTTAACGCACTTCTCCGGAGCGTTGTGTGTTATATCACACTTGCTCGTCGCCGCATCCGACCCCGTTTTCCTTCGTCGCCCACTCGCCCGCACGTCGGGCGGGAGCTCGGTTCTGCAAGAGGCCGGCCTCCACCCCTCGAGCAAGGCAAGGCACCAGGCAGTGTGGGCTTCGCTTTTTCTACGACGAGGCGCCCAACGACAGCAGCGCTTCGAGAGGGAACCGCGCTCCATCCGTGCAGCCCTTGGGCATTTTCTCTCTCCTGGCAGCGTAGTCGAATGAAATATCATGTGAAAGCGCCGCTCTCGCTTGGCGCGGCACGCACTGTTCGCTCTCGAACGTTGGCACCAGGGTCGCGCGCGAGCGGGCGAAATGCAGTCTTCGCCCAAACGCCTCGCAGATCTCGCCCGAACGCTCGCTTGGGCGCGGCGCATCTGCTTCGCTCTCCCCGTCGTTGCGAGTGGGGCCGCGCGCCAGGCGCGCGAGGAGAGAGTCGCCTGCAAGAGGCGCCTCGCGCTGGGGCGCAGCGCACATGCTTCGCCCGCTGGGCCGCCGGGATAATGCCTTGGCCGGCTCTCTAGCCTCGACGGCCGTCGACGACGACGGCGACGAAGAATGCCTTGGCCTCCCTGCTTCTATCGGAAGCTTGGCTGCGCTGGAACGCCTGCAGGTGCTCTCGCCACAGGCGTGGCGCGGGGATCCTCTCGCTCGCGGGGAAGCCTGCCCGCGCCGCGGCTCCGCTCCCGCCCTGTGCGTGGGGCCCGTGCTGTCCTCCTCCTCCTCCTCCGCCTCCTCCTCCTCCTCCTCCTCCGCCTCCTCCTCCTCCTCCTCCTCCTCCTTGCTCCCTGGCCGAGGTCGTTGGCGGCGGGGCCACAAGCGAGCGCATTGCTCTCGCCAGATCGGAACGCGCGCCAGGCCCAACATCCAGTCGCGCAAAACACTGAGTCGTACGCTACCGGAGGTGGGAGCGGGCGGGGGCCCGCCGACTCGCAGCTGCTGTGGCTTGACTCCTCCCCATGCTCCTCCTCCCCCTCGCTCCCGCTTCCCCCTGTGGCCCGAGCGCGCGGCCTGGGGAGGGGAGGGGGGGCGCTGGGCCGCCCGTGTCGCGATGCGCACGGCGCCTCGCGAGGCCGCAGAGGGAGGCGGAGGCGGAGAGGCTGGAAGCGCTCGCCACAGGCATGCCATCCGGGTGCCACTGGCGGCCGCGGCGCGGCGCAGCATCCTCGGGCGGGAGGTCGCGGAGTACAGCCGGTGGGCCGCCGGAGCCTCGCAGGAGCTCTGCTCGGCGGCGAAGGGGCCACCACGCCTGCCCGGCCGTTCGCGCCGGCGGGCACGCTCAGATGCGGTCGGCGCCCATCGTGCAGCCGCGCTCGGAGGCCTGCGTCTTCGGCGCCACCCCGAGGTCATGCGCCTCCGGCAGAGCCTGCACGCCGAGGCGCGGTCAGCGCGGGAGTCGAGCTGGACGGCATGCCCGCTGCGGCCAGCGACGCCCTCGAGCTCTCGGCGGCGGCACCGCCAGCTCGAGCATGGAGACGAAAGGCCTTGACGACGACGGCTGCCACCTCGACGACCTCTCTGAAGCCTCGGGCACCACCGACGTCGGCGCCGAGGCCGCCGCGGGAGCTTCGGGCTCCGCCGACTCTGGCTGGCGAGGATGCCTTCCGTGCCGCGGACGTGCCGCTGCAGCAGCCCCTCGGCGCAGGCGGTCGGCTGACGGCGACGAGAGACTTCTGGGCGTGCAGGGTCGACGAGGGGCGCAGGGCGCATAGCTGATCTGCATCCCGGCCTCGCCTCGGCGTCTTTGCCATCGGTGGCCGTTGTGTCAGTATAGTGCCGCTGTATCGTGCTATACGAACAGGCGCGTAGAGTCTTCTGACTCAGGCCTGGTGCTTCGGCGAGTTTTGCTCTTCGGGGCGCTTCTTGCTGGTGCCTTCTGGCGTCTGACTGGCACGCTGTACGCCCTGCCCAACCCGCGGGATTGGCGGCTTTTTCGACCCCCCCGCCCCTAATGTCTCGGCGAAGTGCGGCTCTGCGGACGCCTCCGGTGAGCTGGGCCTGGGTCCGCTCATACATGGCACCGCGCAGCTCAGCACAAGTATCCGCCGGCCCCCTTGCGGGGCAATCAGGCTGCGAAGACTAGGCGTGCAGCTCCCTGTGCCGGTTGCAGCTTCCACTGCGTTCTGCTTCCCTACTGCTAATTGTTGCTGAGCGCGCGAGGGGGGGGGGCCGAAAAGCGTGGTGGTTAGCGTCCCCGAATCGCGCTGTCTGAATTCCCGCGTGGTCGTGGGACACGTCAAAATACATTATACTCGCGTAAAATACTCCATATTTGCGTCCCCGAGGCCAGAAACCCTTGCTAATTACATGCAAGACTCGCGCCCCCGAAGCCATCATCCCCCGTAGATTACGCGATATTTATCTCCCCGAAGCCATAAACCGTAGAACATTATACGACATGCGCGCCCCTCGCGCCCCCGAAGCCATGAGCCCTTGAACATTGAACAGTATTCGCGTCCCCAGGGCCATAAACCGTCGTAGATTACACCGTGCTTGCGCCCCCGAGGCCACAAGCCCTTGCAAATTACACCACATTCGCGTCCCCAAGGCCATAATCCTAAGTAAATTCATCAATGTTTGCGCCCCCAAGGCCATAAACCCCTGTACATTGTGCAATATGTGCGTCCCCGAGGCCCCAAACCTTCAAAAAATATCCAATAGATTCGCGCCCCCGAAGCCATGAACCATCGCAAATGGCTTAATACACGCGAAACCGAAGCGTAAGCCCTCGCAAATTAACATTGGCCCTCGCGTGAAGTCCCGGCATTGCTTCACGTCAGCGCCCAGACGTCCCAATACAGCTCTGGCAAGTGCAATTCTAAGAGAAGGGGGCCGGCTGCATGGGGGCGAAGCCCTTACAGATAGTTTCGCCGCCGTGTGCCCCCTCTTTCCAATCGCCCTTCCCAATAGTTCGCCCTCCATCTTATCATTCTTCTCCTCCTCCTCCTCCTCCTCCTCCTCCTCATCATCATCATCATCATCATCATCATCATCAGCAGCATCATATCCTATTATGTCCTCTTCTCATCGTCCTCCTCTTCTCTTCTGCTCTCTCCTCTCTCTCGTTTCCGCTCATCACCCTCCCCTTCCTCTTCCTCTCTCCTCGCTACGCTTGCCAACAAGGAGGACAAGTCTCATCATTCCCCGTGCACTGTGCGGAAGAGCAACTTTTCTCCCGCATGCTGCTTTGATTATAATTTGTCATATGGCGTATTCTTGGTATCTCAGAATGGTGATCCAGCTGCAACTTGGGCATCAAATAAAAAGTATCCCCTTCGTTCAACATGATCGCCCCACGCATCCAGCGAGGGATATAGGATGTGAAGCGACGTGCGCTTGACTTGCTGATAGGATCGATCCTTATCTACCGTGCCAGAGGTTGTGCTGTGCTGTGCCGTGTTGACTTGAGATGTGCCATGCCGCAATTGTGGCTTATAGCGTTGTGAATCGAGCCCTCCTTGGCATCAGAATCCTAACCGAACTGACCCGGATCTTAAGCTCGAGATGCCTGAGCAAATAGCTGGCCCGGAGCTGGTTGTAGTCGGAACGTGCGGGACGTCTGATCAGCTCGAGCTGGGGCTCAGACTCAACTCCGAGCAGTGACGAGACGACACGGGGCGCTGGGCGCATGGACGCGCCACGGGATGTGCCAAGCCAGGGGCGCGCCAGGGGGATGCGCCAGGGGACGTGTCAGGGGACGTGTCAGCGACGTGTCAGGGACGTGTCAAGGAGCGGCCACGGGACGGACCAAGGCGCGTGCCACGGGGCGTGCCAAAAGACGCCATGCCAGGGGACATGGCAAGGGACGCGCCACGGAACGGGCAGAGGAAACGCCGGGGGACGAGCCAGGAAACGCGACAGAGGACGAGCCAGGGAACGTGCGACGGGACTCGCCGATGTGCGTGACAGGGGACGTGCTAGGGCACGTGACTCCAGGGAACGCCGCAAGGGACGCGCAAAGGGAAGCGCCAGCGCGCCAGGGGACGCGCCACGGACGTGCAGGGGGACGCGCCATGGAACGGGCAGGAGGGCCCCAAGCTGCGCTGTGCCATGCGACGCTGGGCTGCGTTGTACTCTACTGCTGAAGACATCCTCAACAAATCTCATGCTAGACATCCGCCTGGGCGACCTGGACACGTAAAGGCAGGCGTTTCGCTCGAGACATCCTCAACAAATCATCATGCTAGACATCCGCCTGGGCGACCTGGACACATGTAAGCAAGCGTTTCGCTCGAGACATCCTGAGTCCATCCTTCTGTTAGACATCCGCCTGGGCGACCTGGACACGTCAAAGCAATCGTTTCGCTCAAGACATCCTCAAGACATCCTCATGTCCGATATCCGCCAGGGCGACCTGGACACATGAAATCAAGCGTTTTGTTCGAGACATTCTGAACATCGTCCTTTCGGACATCTGCCTGGGCGACTTGGACACGTGCAAACAGGCGTTTCGCTCGAGATATCCTCAACAAGTCCTCATGGTACACATCCGCGTGGGCGACCTGGACACGTGAAGACAAGCGTTTCACTGGAGACATCCTCAACCGATCGTCACGTTACAGATCCGCCCGCCTGCGCGACCTGGACACATGAAAGCAAACGTTTCGCTCGAGACATCCTGAATCCATCCTTCTGTTAGACATCCGCCTGGGCGCCTGGGCGACCTGGACACGTCAAAGCAATCGTTTCGCTCAAGACATCCTCAAGACATCCTCATGTCCGATATCCGCCAGGGCGACCTGGACACATGAAATCAAGCGTTTTGTTCGAGACATTCTGAACATCGTCCCTTTGGACATCTGCCTGGGCGACTTGGACACGTGAAAGCAGGCGTTTCGCTCGAGATGTCCTCAACAAGTCCTAATGTTAAACATCCGCGTGGGCGACCTGGACACGTGAAGGCAGGCGTTTCACTGGAGACATCCTCAACCGATCGTCACGTTACAGATCCGCCCGCCTGAGAGACCTGGACACATGAAAACAGCGTTTCGCTCGAGCATCCGCCAACTCTACGAAGCGAGCGTTTCGCCCGAGACATACTCAACACAACATATAAAAACAACGTTTCGCTCGGGACATCCCAAACATATGAATATGCCGGCTAACCTCGACCCCGTTCTTGATCGAAGAAAGAATCAGCCAGCCCACACCCAACAAGGCACCGAGGGACAATGGAACACTACTCAAAAAGAACCCTGGGCCCATGCCCCTTCCGGGAAGAAAAACGGCGCTGTCGTCACAGCGGCGGCCACATTTCTGGACCCGAGTCCTTGCTCCTGGTTGTCCCCCCCTCCTGTCTCTTCCTCCGATGTCTTGTCATACGCGCTTCCAGTTCTGAATCGACCCGCGGGACGCCACAATGTGAAGGACATGCTCATCCGAAGGTTCGACATGAGGAACGGCAACTAATCGAGGCAGGATCCAATCCCTATCTCCCCCGCGAGGGCCTCTTTGACCGTCAGCCGCAGCTCCGCGTCTATGTCCATCGCGTCCTGCTGTTCCACTGAAAATGCACTCGGGCTGATCAGAACTCCGTCCATGGACTTCCCAGACAGGCAAGGGCCAGACCCCCCCCCCTTTCCGCAGAGGAGGATGAGGAGGTGGCAAGAAACGAGGAGGAACAGCGGCAGCGCGAACAATAAGCATATTAGCGATAATGATGACAAGCTGGAGCAAAGGAACCTGGCTGGTTGAGAACAATGAGTTATCGTGCGAACGCATGACTGTGGCACTCGATCAGCACTACCACACGACATTGTCGGCTCTACCGATTACACGTTTGTGGTAAGTAAGCAAGTAATGAGCTCACTGGCATCAACAAATGTCTTGGGTGAAGGGGATGCCTTCAGTGCGCTCATTACCACCGTGTTGAGGAGCGCTCCAGCCGCAGAAGCGCGAGACGTCCCTTGCACCAGCAAATAATGCAATTCTCCCTCTACACATTGAGACGCGGGGGGGCGAGGTCAGAAGCAAAGGGGGGGATAACGGTGGGGAGGGACTCATCCGACCGCACCGCCCCGCCTCTAATCGTGCTCATGATTCCTGAGGCGCCTGCGTGAAGGCTCGGGCTGCCAGCCTCAAGCGGACGCCTCTGGAGCCAGGCCTGGTCGGACGGATGGATGGACTCCTCTGTCCAAACCTGACTTGGCACGAGCAGATTGGCCCTGAGTGCTTAGCCGAGCAAGGCAACTCCCAGGTTGTGGCAAGGGCTTGGGATGGCCTGGGGGGCCATACGTGCCAAATTGAAGAGCATATCAATCCTTACCCGCTTCGGCTGGCCATATTTACTTCAGATCACGGGCCAACCGGTGGCGACCCAGCTTCTCCAGCCACGGAATATCGCCAAGGATGCAGCGCGGAACAGGTTACTACTCCTCCCTCACGCGCACACTCTCGGCCATGATACAGGCTCACGCCCGCTCGGGATGAAGCAGGGACTGGCGGCATCACAGGGAAAATGGGAATAAGGAGCGCTTCTGGGCTGGAAGATTTTCCACACATGGCCTCATGATTCGATTTCGGCCACTTCTGTGCCACCAGCGGCGTTCAACCTCGAACGCCCGCGTTGGGTCGCCGCCTCGTTGGCATGACACGAACCTACCGTACGGAAGGGAAAAAGGAGGCGGATGAGGAATCACTCCTTCAGAAGCCGACTCTTCTGAGCGGAGGGCGAAAGGCAACGTCAGGGGGGCAAGGGGCGAAACATCGACCTGGGATCGGCGAGTTTGCCGGCGACAGGCCTTCGACAGCGAAACCACACGTTGCTGAGCTGGGTGTGGGCTATCAGGCCCCCATTGGCGATGAATAGGCGATTGGGCGTCGATGTCCCCCCCCTGAGCCTATCCCCGTAATGGTTTTCGGGTCATAGCTCGGGCCTCTGGCGGCCGTTCGGAACGATCTGGGTACCCTTCGAACGCTCTTGGCGACGCGCAGCCGCTCGAAGGCATCCCGAGGCTCGACAACCGCCGAGAACCCACGACCACGCCCGAAACACCCCGAACCTCGAAACGCCGTCCCCCCTGAGCTTAATCAGAACCTCGGAAAGGTTTTCTCCGAACGCCACCACACACGCCCATGCCGATCCACAGCACGTTGGGAATGTCTACACCCATGCCGCCCGCCATTTTGTAGCGCAATCGTGTTACGTGTGCACCATAATGGGTACTCATGACACCGTGCCACGCGAAACCAAACAAACTCAAGGACGTCTCAGGCGAGACCGGGCACAAACCAGGCCAAACCTAGTCAAACCAGCCGAGGACGTCTCAGGCGAACGGGGGACGAAACCAAGCCTAACCAAGGACCAAACCAAGCAAATTTTGAGGATGTCTCATGCGGGGCGCGGGGCCAAACCAGGACAAGCCGGGCCAAACCAGGGGCAAAACCAGGCAGACTATGAGGACGTCCCTCGCAGAATCGCCCAAACCAGGCTCACTCCACTCTCGTCCATAAAAATTCGGATTACAGGAGCTGGTCACCCCAGGGTCTCCCCCCCCCCGCATGCGGAAACCAATTTCGAATTTTGTAGGGGTGGCGTTTGGACCGCGCGCCCGCTGATGCGGACGGGGTTGGGCGCAGAAGCCTTCATTTGTCTCTCGGGTGTTATTGGGGCCTTGGTGTGGCGTTCGGAAAAATACTTCCGAGCCTGTAGAAGAATCAAGATTGACCCACGAACCCAGACAACAACCTAGAAACGTGATGCATGGCTACTGGTTCTAGACACCTGATTGGGCGACAAGCAATTTCAATGCTGAAGGTATCGATCGTGATGTACGGTGCCAAAGATTGATCTGCGCTGTGCCGTGCTGAAACGAGATGCATCATGCCGCGATGAATTGCGTTGTGCTCTATAGGGGTCAAGTCGCCCTTGGCATCTGAATCCTGACCGAAATGGTCTGGATCTTAAGCTCGAGCTGCCTCAGCGCATGGGTGGCCCAGAGCTGGTTGTAGTCGAAACGTGTGGGGCGCTCAATCAGCTTAAGCTCAAGACCCGACCCAAGTCCGAAACAGGACGCGACGACACGGGGCGCAGGGCGCAGGGACGCGCCACGGAATGTGCCAGGTGCGCACTATTGGATGCGCCAGGGGGCGTGTCAGGGGACGTGGCAAGGGACGCGCCACGTAGCGGGCAGGGGAAGCGCCAAGGGACAAGCCAGGGAATGCGACAGGTGACGAGCCAGGGGACGCGCCGGGGGGGGGGGGGGCATACGCTGTCCCGCTCGGGTTCACGCTTGTCCTGCTCTGCGGCGTTAGAAGCCATGCGTGTTCACGCATGTTCCGTTCTGGGGCGTTAAGAACCCACGTGGTTTCACGCTTGTCCCGCTCTGGGGCGATGGGCACCCATGTGATGTCACGCTCGTCCCGCCCTGGGACGTTAGGAACCCACGTGTTTCACGCTTGTCCCGCTCTGGGGCGTCAAGAATCCACGTATTGGCACGCTTGTCCCGCCCTGGGGCGTTGGGAACCCACGTGGTTTCACGCTTGTCCCGCTCTGGGGCGTTAGCATCCTATGTGTGTTTCACGGTTGTCCCGCTCTGGGGCATTAAGAACTCACGCGCTTTCACGCCTGCCCAGTTCTGGGGCATTAGGAACCAACGTGTTCCCATGCTTGTCCTGCTCTGGGGCGTTCGGAATCGCAATGTGTTTTCACACTCGTCCCGCTCTGGGACGCTAGGGGCCAACGTGTGCTCGTGCTTGTCCCGCCCTGGGGCGTTAGGAAACCAAGAGTGTTTACGCTTGTCCCGCTCAGGGGCGTTAGAACCCCCCGTGCTGTCACGCTCCCAAAGCCACAATCCCTCGAGAACGACGGTCCTACCGCACTCCTAGAACCACCTGGGCCTCCTGGGGCGCCCAGGCCTCTCAAGCACTGCAAAACAAGCGTCTCGCTCGAGACATGCTCAGATATTCGGTGCGCGGGGCGCGCCGTCCTCGGGCGGGCACGCAACAAGTCAACACCCTGTCATCTTATGTGAAATTGCAGGGTCTCCCAAGCTCGCTGCTTCTCGAGATTCTGCCAACATGGTCGACACACGAACACGGAAAAGGATTTAGAACTGCTAGGCATGGAAACGTTGCAAAGGATCTCAGCTGGGCGATGGGCAGGGGCAGTGCTGAAGACATCGATGGTGACGATACTGTGCCAGGGGCTGTGCTGTGCTGCGTTGTGCTGTGCCGTGCCGCACAGTGACGCGCCACACGGGACTCGCGGCATGTCAGGGGGACGCGCCCGCGGAACGTCCCAAGGGACGCGACGGGGGACGTCCGTGCCACGGGACGTGCCAGGGCAGGCACGCCGCACGACGTGCCAGGGGGACGCGCCACGGAACGCGCGAGGGAAGGTGCTCGACGACGCGCCAGGGGGCGTGCCAGGGGACGCCCACGGGACGCAGCACAGGACGCGCCAGAGACGCGACGAGGGACGCGCCGCGGATCACCTGGAGCCTCCTAGGATCCCCGCGCCCCGTTATGAGTCAAGATGTCAAGAGCCGCGCGATCCCTCGAACATGACGCTGCGTCCACGCACCCTGGGCTACGATCCATTGCACATTCCGCTGGGCCCGCACTCCCAGTACCACAATCACTGATAAGTGATGTTGCGTCCGCTCCCCCAAGGCCACGATCCCCTGTAAATTATGCAGCGGCCGCGCTCCCAGACCCCGCGTGCCAAGATGCATAAGAAATTATGCGCGGCCCCTGGTAAATTACACAGGCATGCCGACGGTATGCCGAAGGTGCTCTGAAGGTACGTCGGATACACTCGTTGAAGGCCCGCTGAAGGTATGCGTTGTCTGTATCGCTTTAAACAAGAAGCGTTATTGAAGGTACGCCCAAGGTCCGATGAAGGTGCGCGAGTCAAAATCAGCGATGGCACCCTGCATGCACGCAGGAAGTAGACAGGAGCGGGGAGGGGGAGAGGACAGACTGAGAATTCCGATCAGGGCGTCCGCATTGTCATAATAGCAGTTGTTGCGAGAGGCCGCCTCCGTAAACCCAGACATCCGGCTGCTCTAATTTTTTAGTGCGTGGGCCCCGGAGGTCCAGACCACTTCCCCGGGACAGGTTTTTCTTCCGGAATCGTTTTTTGACGCTCCCGAGGCCCAGCGAGGCCCTGGAGGCCGAAGACTGCCCAAAACCGCCAGCTCCAATCTTTTTTGGAGCGTCGGATCTCAGGGAACACACGGTGGCTCCACGCACCACCGCCAGTGCAAGAGCATCGTCATCCTAACTTTGGCAGCGGAGCCCAATCGGCTCCCCGGACAGGCCGCCCCCGGCCCACGACCACGCCACGGCGCCCCCGCCGGTATGTTTCCCTCTCTCGCTCACGCCTGCCCGGCAGCGACGGTGCTCCGGCCGCCGGCGGGGGGGCGCCCAGGACGCCGCCGCCGCGGCGCCTCTGGGCAGAGGCTGGCTCGGCCCACCTCCCGCGCGCGGGCCAGGCGGCGGGGCTGCGAGCGCGCGCGGGCGCGGGGCGCAGGGTCCCAGCGCAGGGTGCTGTGCTCCTGCTCGAGGCGGCGGCGGTGGGCCCGGCCGCCCTCGGAGCGGCGGCGCTGCTCGCCCTCGGCGAGGCGGCTCGCGCCTCCCAGCGGGCGGCGGCCGCGCGGAGTCGGCTTCTCGGGCCGCGCGGGGAGCGCGCGCGCCCCGCAAGCCCGGGGCGCGCTGAGGGGCGGGCCTGGCCGCGCCTGGACTGCTTGCTGATGCTGCTGCTGTCTCTTTTCCTCTTCTCCCGCCCCCTTCTGCTCGCCTCTTTTCTCTTAGCCACGGGGCGACCTCTCGCGCAGGTGGAATGTGTGTCTGTGTGTGTGTGTCTGTCTGTCTGTCTGTCTGTCTGTCTGTCTGTCTGTCTGTCTGTCTGTCTGTCTGTCTGTCTGTCTGTCTGTCTGTCTGTCTGTCTGTCTGTCTGTCTGTGTGTATGTGTCTGTAGAGGAAGAAGGAAGAGCAGGGGAGAAGGGAGACGCAGGTGAAACGCGGCAGGGAAGAAAACCATACCCCCACTAAGCATGTGGGGAACTATTGTCCTCTAGGTTGACAACGGACCAGCCTCGGAGCACGCGCAAAACTTGCATGTGAGTTCTAGCTTGCGAAGAATGCCTGGCACGGCGGCCCTAAACCCTGTGCAAAACATGATCGACCCACGAATCCGGAAAGGAATCTATAAAGGTTAGGCATGGCAACCTTTCAAAGACACCTGATTGGACGACGGGCAAATCCAATGCTGAATGTATCGATCTTGATGTACCGTGCCGAGGGCTCTACTGTGCTGCGCCGTGCTGAGTTGCGATGTGCCATGACGCGACTGTACTCTATATAGCGTTGTGGATCGAGTCCTCCTTTGCATCCGAGTCCTGACCGAACTGATCTGGAACTTAAGCTCGAGCTGCCTGAGCACATAGTAGCTGCCCCAAAGCTGAATCAACAGGGGGACATGCCAGGAGGACGCGCCGCACAACGTCCCAAGGGACGCGCCAAGCGACGTGCCAGGGGACGTGCCATGGGGACGCACCGCGGGACGTGCCGAGGGGACGCGCTACGGAACGTGCCAATGGACGTGCCACGGGACGTGCCAGGGGACGCGCCGCGCGACGTGCCAAGGGGACTCGCCACGGGACATCCTCATGCTAGACATCCGCCTGGGCAACCTGGACACTTGCAAACAAGCGTCTCGATCGAGACTTGCTCAACACATCCTCATGCTAGACATCCGCCTGGGCGACCTGGACGCGTGAAAACAAGCGTCTCGCTCGAGACATCCTCAACAAATCCTCATGCTGGACATCTTCCTGGGCAACCTGGTCTCAAGAAACCAAGCGTCTCGCACGAGACATCCTCAAGACCTGGGCACGTGAAAACAAGCATTTCACTAGAGGACAATCTAGAACACAAAACAAGCGTTTGACTCGGGACATCCTCCAACATTCATTCGCCGGCCCACCTCGACCTCGTTATTTATCGCACTCAAGTCGATTCCGGGGGCAAGCAGCAAAAAGAAAACCCTGGGCCCACGCCCCTTCCAGAAAAAACCATGTTTATGTAGTGGTCTCGCTCTCGACGCATACCCCCTGAGCCTACCCCCCCTGAGTTAGGACCCGAAAAACCACCAGGGGATAGGCTCAGGGTGGGGTCGCATCGTCCCCGAATCGCCTATTCATCGCCGGTGGGGGCCTGCTAGCCCTCACCCTGCCCAAGAACGTGCGGTTTCGCTGTCGAGGGCCTGTCGTTAGGTCGGGCTTGTCCCCTTGCAGGCGGATTTCCGGGCGAAAAATAAAAAAACAAATGCCTCCAAAATTGTCAACAATAGTCAAAACAATCGTCCCCAGACTACTTCTTTACTATTTGTGAACATTCCTCCTGCAGAGGGACAGGCCCGACTCAATGCTGGCTGCTAGCCCTCACCCCGCCCAAGAACGTGCGGCTTCGCTGCTGAGGGCCTGTCGTCGATCTGCCAGCGACATGTCGCCGATCCCATCGGGAGCGGCCAAGAGGGGGGTGTCCAAGAGGGGGGGGTGCAAATCATGACCGGCGGCATGTGCGCGGCCCAGCGGGGGGGCCAGGGACGCAATGAAAGAAGAAGAGGCGCCGCGAAATCTGGGGAAATATCATGGCCCACGCCATGATATCCACCCCCCCCTAGTCATCACACCCCTCTTTTCCGCCCCCGATCCCAGGCCCACGCGTCCTCCCCTGCGCCGGCCCCCCGGGGACGCTGCCCTGCGCCCCCCGCTCCAAGGAGTCGGCTTCCGCGGGAGCGTCTCCTCCTCCTTCCTCCTCCCTCCTCTCCTGCCTCCTCTCCTTCCACCTCCTCCTTCCCCTTCCCTTCTGCTCTTCTTCCTCCTCTTCTTCCTCCTGTTCTTCCTCCTCCTCCTCCTCCTCCTCTTCCTCCTCCTCCTCCTCCTCCTCCTCCTCCTCCTATCGGCGACATATCGCCGATTCCAGGTCGACGCTTCCTCCCCTGAGCAGATCCCCCGCGAGCGTGGAGCCCGAGAGGGGCTGCGGTCCAGGCCGCGCAGGGGAAGCAGCCACGGCAGCGCCGCGACCTTGGAAGGGGCCGCGGGTCGCGCGGCTTCTCGCTGGGAACTCGAGGGCGAGGGCACGGGAGTGCCCGCCGCTGCAGGGGGGGGGGGGGCACTCTGCGCGGCACCCATGGCGGAGGAGGCGAGCGGGGGGGAGGAGTGAGAGAAGGAGAAGGCCTTCTCGGAAGGCGGCGGGGCTTCTCAGAAGCCCCGCTGGCTTTCGTGAGAGGTTTTCAGTGTCTTCGGGGAAAACTTCGATAACTCCTCAGAAGGCTGGGGGATTTCCGAGCCCGCCTCTTTCTCACTTCCCTCTGGGCTCACCCCAGGCTCGCCGCCGAATGGTGGAGAAGGTGGTTCGAGGTTCGAGCAATCCCACGCAGTGGTCGAAACGAAGCTACAGGCGGCGAAGCTGCTTAGCCTTGTCGAGGAGCTTGGGCCGCTTCCCTCCCTCGATGCGGTTAAGGTGCTTCCGCCGATGAGGGTCAACCTCATGAGAGAATGACTTTACTATCGCGCGGATTTGCACATGAGCGAACTGACCACACGACATACAACATCAGACGTTTGAGAGGCTGCGTCGGCTACGACTCTAGAGCCATCAGCGCCCAGCACCCAAGAGGAGGAGGAGGAGGAGGAGGAGGAGGAGGAGGAGGAGGAGGAGGAGGACGAGGAGGAGGAGGAGGAGAGGGAAGTGGTGGACGAAGAGGCGGAAGAGGGTAAACAAATACTCCACCTCCCCCTCACCCACCTCTCATCATGAAAATCATTTTTCGTAGCCTGGCCCGCTCTTCTGAATGGCTACCGAAGGCCCAGGGCCCTTCCGCGGAGCCTTCGCGGAGCTTCAGGCGTGGCTCGAAGCCGGCGCCCTTGCGCCAGCAAGGGGCGTGGGAAAAGCGCTGCCTGGCTGGAGCCTCCTGGACCTCGTCCCGAGACTCCCCGCCAGGCCAGGGCGCCGGCGAGAGCCGCGAGAGACACGGGAATCGCCGCACCCACTGGGAACCCAACGAGAAGCGGGCGCCCTGGACGCGTCGCGGGAGGCGGCGACCTGAGAGAAAGAAGCCTGGAGGCCCGATCCTCTCGCGACGAGGGGTGGTACCCGCGAGAAGGCAGGGGCCGGAGAGCGTAGCTCGACAGGCCTGGGTTTGCCGCCCGCGAGAAGGCAGCGAACCTACACGCGCCCTCGCACGAGGTAAAGCCCGCGAGAAGGCAGCGACCCGAAAATAATGAAGCTTGAGTTTGCCCGCGGAACGGCAGGGACTTTGGGCGCGCCCGCGAGAAGGCAAGACCCCACTAGGTTTGCCCGCGAAAAGGCAGCGAAGTGACCCTGCACGCAGCATGCCACGCGGAACCCGGCAGAGCCCGGGAGAAGTGCAGCCCGAGTTTGCCCGCGAGAAGGCGGGGACTCTGGGCGCGCCCGCGAGAAGGCAGGGACCCTGAACTTGCCCGCGAAAGGCAGAACCAGAGAGTGAGAATCACGGTGGCCTGAGTTTGCCCGCGAGAAGGCAGGGGCTCTGGGTGTGCCCGCGAGAAGGCAGGGACCCTGGTTTTGCCCGCGAGAAGGCAGTGACCCTGCGCGCGGCTTCTCACAGGGAACCTGGCCCACACGTTCCCTGCGGTCAGAAGGCCGGGCCGAGCAGAAGACGACCGCGGTCACGCTTTGCCAGGGCCCCGCGGCCTCGCGGACGAGCAGGGCCGAGAGGCGCGACGCACGACCTGGTGACACAGGTGCCGCGCCGAGAAACACTTCCGCCGCTCCAGAACAAGCGGGCCGGCGCCGAGGACCGCACGCCCGCCACGCAGGCACCGAGGCGCGCGAGCGGAGGAGAGGGGGGGGAGGTGAGCGACAGCGGGCCTGCCCCGCATGATTTTCCTGTGCCAGAAACAAGTTTACGCTTCATGAAAATCATTTCTGGTTGCCCGGCCCGCTTTACTGAATGGCTACCGAAGGCCAGGGCCCTTCCGCGGAGCCTTCGCAGAGCTTCAGGCGCGGCTCGAAGCCGGCGCCCTTGCGCCAGCAAGGGGCGTGGGAAAAGCGCTGCCTGGCTGGGGCCTCCTGGACCTCGCCCCGACTCCCACATGCACAAGGGGGCGACGGCCTGCGCAGCAGCACCTGAGAGCGAGACATCGTGATTTGTGCCTCTCTTTTTTGCATCCCAACGCACACGATGCCAAACTCAGTCCTGCTCGCCGTCGCTGGCATCGGAATGGTCCACCAGCCACTCAGAAGCAGCGATAGCCCCCCGGGTCTGGGCGCTGGCATAGCCAAAAGCAGGCAAGCCCCTCCAGCCGCCACTGAAAAACAATGCTGCGGGCCCTCCTTGTTGGAGGGCCTCGTCTGCGAAGCCCCGCCTGAAGGCGTGAGTATCCCAAGCGGGCGCGCTGCGCAACTCACGTCCTGCGCACATCGTCAGTGAAACGAAACGCCGCAGCGGTGGCACCCAAGCTTAAAACTTCGGAGTACCGGAGACAGAACTGGCGAGCGATCGCCCACGATGCTGCGAGTAGCGAGTAACCTGCCTCAGCGCACCACTTGCGGATGCGTCTGGTCTCTTCTGCAGTGGCGCGGATCTTTTCTCTACGGAACGCATCCCTGGTGATCTTTTCGGCCCCTCTGGACAATCGCTGCGCATCTGCGATCGCGCCGAGCGGGGCGCGCAGCAAACACAACACGCTGCGCACGTGAGACAAGTATCTCTGCAAAGTGTTGCCGTTGCGAAACAGGGCAACGAAGGCGTCGAGAACCTGCTCAGATGGCGGCCAACTCGGCGCCTCGATCGACGCGGCCGCTTCGCCCCACAAGCGCACAGCGGAAGCGCGCTGGGACGCGCTTCTCCGCCGCCCTGCGAACTCGACCCACAAGGTGTGCAAGTTGAGGTGCTCGCCGTCGTGTTCACGCCGAACTCGCTTGACTGCGTCTCGCGGCCGTCCTGCAGGCGCCGCCCCTGGAAAGCAGCTGCGGGCCGCGGCCGTCAATGCCGCCGCCGGCAGAGCGGGCGGAGGAGCAGACTGGGCGCGCCTGGCCTCTCCAAGCAAGATCAGAGCTGCACGGCCGCTGTCTGCGTCGTGCGCCCCGTGGCCCTGCTCCAACCTGCCGCCGCCGCAAGCGCCAGCGCTGTGACAATCGGTCGCGGCCGCCGTCGCTTGCGCAGCGCCGGCAGCCCAAGGCGTTGTGGATCCAACCTCGTTGGCACTGGTTTGCTGGCGTGCTCGGGCTGCCTGCTCGCGGCCGGTCTCGGCGCGGCAGTGCGAAATCAGGGCGTGAACGAAGCCTCCGCTGAGTGAAGCAATAGCCGGGACAAGCTCCATTAAGTCGGCTGCATTCACGTCGCTCAAATCGGACGGGTGCACGAAGCCCGACTCCGCCAGCACTGCAAGTAGGTTGGCGACGTCTGTGCCTGGGACCTCCTGCTCCGCCAAGGCGCGCGCGACAGCTGCCAAAGGAGACGCGACGGCGCCATCGCTGCGCGACTGTGCTTGCGAAAATCAAAACAGCGCCAGCCCATTTCCAGACATGGCCGGCGCCCCTGCGCCAGCAAGGGGAACGTTGGGAAGCGCTGCCTGGCCGGAGCCGTTTGGGTCTCGCCCCAAAGACTCCCAGCCAGGACAAGGCGCCGGCGCAAGCCTCAAAGGGCGGCGAGGGTGGGCAAAGCTCCTGACAAGGAGCAGTAGGCGCAGCCCCTTGCAGCAAACACTCCGGCCCCCAGACGCCACCGCGAGACGCAGAGAGCCAGGGGCACCTGGGGCCCCAGCCCCCAGGCGCCGCGGGCGAGGCGCGGGGCGCCAGCCCCCAGGCCGCATGCGACTGAGGGCGACAAGCGCGCCCCGGCTGCACCATCTGGGAGGGGGCGCCGGGGCGGCAAGCTGCAAAGCTGCCGCCCCCGCCGCATCAATACTTCCGCCGTTTCGCGCAGAAACTCTTCCGCCGCACTGCCGAGGAACCGCTTCCCCCGCAAAGCAGGCAGAAGCGCGCGAGCCACGCGCCCGCAGGCAGAGGCGTGCGAGCAAGGCGTGCAAGCAAAGAGGCGTAGAGGTGTAAACAATGGACACTGCGCCTCATGATTTTCCTGCTGCAGAAATAAGTTTATGATTCATGAAAACCATAACAGCGTCAGCCCATTTCCAGACATGGCCGGCGCCCCTGCGCCAGCAAGGGGAACGTTGGGAAGCGCTGCGTGGCCGGGGCCGTTTGGGTCTCGCCCCAAAGACTCCCATTGCACCAGAAAGCGACGGACCGCGCAGCAGCGCCGAACAGATAATGTCGTGGCATATTTTTGGCCCCTGCGCGCACGATGCACAATTAGGCCTGCTCGCCGTCGCTAGAATCGGAATGATCGACGAGCCACTCTGCGGCCGTCAACGCTCCTCGGCTTTGGGCGCTGACATGCCCGAAAGCTGCAGCGCCCCTCCAGCCGCCGCTGAAGAACAAGGCAGCGGGCCCTCCTTGTTGAAGCGCCTCATCTGCAAAACCACGCCCGAATGCGCGAGCCCCCCACGCAGGCGCGCTCCGCAAACGCAGCGCCGCAGCCGCCCGCGTCAGAACAGCCAGGGCGTCGGCGTAGCGAATCTGAGCAAAAAGGACTGCTTCGCGCTCTCCTAGGGAGAAACGCCGCACAGCGCCCGGCCCTGCTATTTGCAAATGCAGCGCCTGGCTGTCTCGCACGGCTCATTGCAACACTTCCTGTGGGCGAAGCGGACCGCGCGTGCCCTGCGATCGCCGATGCTGAAACGATAAGACACTGCAGGCCGGCCTAGATTCAACAACTCAGAATATCGCAAGCAAAATTGCCGAGAGATAACCCGGGATGCTGCCAGGAGAAAATATCCTGCGTCGCAACACCATTCGTGAATTATCTTTGTTTCTTCTGCGGTGGCTCGAATCTTTTCTTTCCTGAATATGTCCTGCGTGATATTATCCGCGCCACGTGCCAATCTGTGCGTGTCTGCCAGGATGCCCAAAGGAACATTCAAGAGATGCAACACACTCCGCATGCGCGACAGATACCTTTGAAGAGTATGGCAATTGC